CCTCTCCCTGTCTCTCCCCCTGTCTGCCTCAGCCTCTCCCTGTCTCTCCCCCTGTCTGCCTCAGCCTCTCCCTGTCTCTCCCCCTGCCAGTTTGACGCTCTATTGGCACCACCAGTGAATAAATCAGTGTTGCTAAATCAGATACAATGAACATAAAATCTACAGATATTTACAATATAGACTCTGACTCTCTCCCTGCCCCCCCAGCCATGACTGCCTCTCTCTCCTGTCAATCGGACCCCAGTGTACCCCTCTCAGATCCACTCCAGGGTTCCCAGCTCCAGAGTCCGGCACCAGCCGATTGATTCTGAGGGAGTGTTTGCGAGCGGTATTATGATGTTTGTGTAAGAAGTGATGAACAGTACTGTGTGAATTTGGGCGTGTGCGCGCAATCGGTGACCAAGATCTGGGCCGTTTCTTACTCGCTGCGGCGACAGATCTTGATGTCAAACAGTGCCTGAGGGCACCGAGTGACAGATCACGGCCGGCAAGCAGCACGCTGACATCTCCACACACCCCGCTGCGCATTACGTCACCGACTCCTGGCATCCTGCTTGCCATCATGGCGGGCCGAGGAACTACAATTCTCATGATGAGGGGCGAGGAGGAAAACTACGTTTCCCATGAGCCTACTCGCGTGATAAGGAAGTAGTTTTCCTCTTTCTTTTCCCTGTGAAACGGTTTTACGTGTTTTGGCATTTTTGGCATTATCTGCCAAATTATCTGTTCGTGTCTATCGCCATACAGGCATGGACCGCCAGCCCCCAGAGAAAGCACCTCGATCAGTGTCAATGTTTATTTCTTATTTCAATCAGCCGTGAACACTGTCCTGCCTCTCGGTGATGGAGGCAGACATGCAAGGGAACAGAGCCCCTCTCTGGCCTCACGGACTACATCTCCCATGAACCCTTGCGGGCGGCGGGCGCGTTCCCCGGATGCTGCTCCCTCCCCTTATGGTGGGGCGGCGTGCCTCGCGCCTGTGCTCAGTGTGCGGGATCCCGGACAGACAAGCAAGTGTCTCGAGCAGCTCATTCAGCTCTGCAGTCCAGCTCCCCGATCTTCACAAGCCGACAAAATGGTACGTAGCGCCCCGGCTCGCCCGCTGTCTTGCCGCTCGCAGCCCGGGCTTGGCTTAGGCGTGTGGATTGTGCCTGCGTGGGTTTTTTTCCGCGTTTTAGGCCAGCTAGCCGGGCGATGTGACGGTGCATTGTTGCTGCACAGAGAGGATGCCGGCGCCATTTCCTCTCCCTGCCCGTGCAGGCCCGCACGCGGCCGGGCGCCCGGCCCTTTGTTCCCGTCCTCTCGCGCTGCCCGGCCGGCTCGCCAGCCCGGGAGCGGACCGCACCGGACCGGACCGGACCGCGGGCTGCGCTGCCCTGTGTTCTCGCTGGCGGGGGCGCCCCTCCCTCCGCTGCGGGGTGCCCGGGGCGGATAACGGTGCGGAGTCGCCCTGCCGCATCTCGAGCGTCTTTTTGTCAATCTAAATATAGCGCGCGCCGGCCCCACCCATCGTGTTCTGGCTCGCGGCGGACCCGGCTTCCTCCCCTCCCTCGAGGCCGGCCGGGGCGCGCGAGCTTGACAGCAGCGATGTCGGCGCTCGAGCCACCCCGGCTACCGGCTCGCGCTCGCCGGCCGGCCGGCCCGCCAGCCGCTGCGGCTCCGGGTCCCGGCGGCTCGGCTCGGTTCGGGCCCTTAAGGTGCCCCCCGGCTGGGCTGGGAGTTCGAAGGCGCCCCGGGCGTGTCGGTCCGGAGCCCGGCAGCCCGGCAGGAGCGTCTTTGTGTGGGAGGAGACGGGCCGACACCCCGGACCCGGACCCGCTCGGCTCGGCTCGGGAGGAGGAGGAGGAGCGGGGGGGTGAAGAAGCCGGCGGGGCGGGTCTGGGGTGCCCCCCGGCCGCTGTGCGCACGGAGCCCCGACCCGGCAGTGCGAAAGAGGAAGCGCTGCTGCGGGGGGGAGGAGGAGGAAGAGGAAGAGGAGGGGGGCGACTCTCTCCTCTCGTCCTCCCGCCGTCTCCCCCGCGGCTCGGTTGCCCCCGGACCCCGGTTCAAGTCCACCCCCGCCCCCCGTTATTCTCCCGGGGGGAGACCCGGTCCCCCCGATCCGCCGCTCGCGCGCAGGTGGCGGATGACGCCGCAGTTTTTGAGCGGAGGAAGAGGAGGAGACCGCCGCCAGGCCCGGGTCTGTGGTGAAATAGCGCCGACAGCCCGGCCGCGCCCGGCGGGAGCAGAACCGCTCGGGGCGTTTCCGCCGCCAGCACCCCGAGGGGCCCGGGGCCCCTGAGGCCCGTGTGGCTGAACCCGCTCTCGAGGCTTGAAAATGAAGATTTCCTGTGCGCATCTCCCGCTTCCGACAGCGGAGGGACCCAGAGATACCGTTAACCGTCCGCACGAGCAGGATTTGAATCTGTCTCGCTGACACACGCGCCCTTTTTTGGTCAAACCGGGAGGCGAGCGAGCGCGCGCCTGTCTGTCTGTGTGTGTGTGCGCGCACGCGCGCGCGCGGGGATTCGGAGCATGAGGAAGTGCTGCCGCAGTATCGCGCGAGTTCGTGCAGGAGGGGGAGAGGAAGTGGCCGGTCTGCGATCTGGGCCGGGCCGGGCCGGCTGCTGTGTCGACCAGGAGGGGCAGAGGCTGGGGGGGTCTGCTGCTCCGGGGGCCGGACTGCTCTGTTCAAACTGAGCTCTGGCCAGGTTCTGCTCAGTACCTCTGCAGATGTCTGACCGGGAGGACAGCTGGGCCTGTGGTTCTGGTCCAGTGCTGCCAGACCGGGAGGACAGCTGGGCCTGTGGTTCAGGTCCGGTCTTGTCAGACCGGGAGGACAGCTGGGCCTGTGGTTTAGGTCCAGTCCTGTCTGACCTGGATGACAGCTGGGCCTGTGGTTCTGGTCCAGTCCTGTCTGACCGGTCCTGTCTGATCCCGCGCTCGGCCCCGCAGACCTCCGGCGTGACCGTGACGGACGACGTCATCATGGTGTTCAACGAGATGAAGGTGCGCAAGGCGCAGGCGGGCGAGGAGGAGAAGCGGCGGAGGAAGAAGGCGGTGCTCTTCTGCCTCAGCGAGGACAAGAAGCACATCGTGCTGGAGGAGGGGCGCGAGATCCTGCTGGGCGAGGTGGGCACCACCATCGACGACCCCTACCTGCACTTCGTCAAGATGCTGCCCCCCGACGACTGTCGCTACGCGCTGTACGACGCCACGTACGAGACCAAGGAGACCAAGAAGGAGGACCTGGTCTTCATCTTCTGGTGAGGGGGGGCGGTGTGTACCTGGCGTGAGGAGGGTGTGTGCGTGGGGTGAGGGGG